GGGACAAATAATGTATACAAACTGCATGTAAAAAGGGGAACATTTAGACTGATTAAATAATACTGTGGTACCTGCAGCAACAAACAATGGGGATAGATCTTGTGTGAATTGGAGATTCCTCTATACTGCAGTGAACTCAGGAACATATGTGCAAGATTGCCTTTTATCTGTAAAGGGGCAGACAGTTGGAAAAAGCTCAGGAATGTCCCCCGTATTCCAGAATGAAGAAATGTGCTACCTTATGACTCCCAAAAGATGGTACCTAAGAGACTGAGGATGAAGGTCACACAATTGCTATCAGACGAGGAGGTCACTTCCCGCACATACCACCACATTCCCCCCCACAAAAAAACCTATCACCATAGATATGATAGATAGGGAGAGGATATATGGCTTTCTTGGTGCTACCACTACTCACATTTGAGAAGGGAGATGGATTGGGAAGCACTGTCCTTAATGGCACTTTTCTGAACCTCAGAAATTGGTTTGGTTTGGGTTAGTTTTATAAACGGCAAACTGTGTTCTCAGGAGTGAAAGGAACTGCCAATGGACACCAGAGGGAAAAATCTGTTCTTTGGAGAGATCTGTTTTGGAGTGTTCTTCCTTTAACTAGACTGTTCAAAGAGAAATTTTAAATGTTAGACAATATTGATTAGTCAACACAAAGTTTTCTTTTAATTACTAAAAGTAATTATAACAGAAACACAACACATTTCGGGAGCTTCTAACCATGTGGCTGATGCACTCTCCTGTGAAAGTTTCCACAATCAACTGGTTAAAATCGTCCTTAAAATGTGAAAAATATTGTTAGTTTTTATACAGTCAGTAGTTTATCTAAAGGTACATGTGTCTTATTAACTCTGTTGTCTCCTAAAGCTCCAGGAAGAAATCACAGCCAGTGTGGAACTGGCTGTCCAACACTATCTGTGATTTGGGGGGCGTGTCATAAATATAAAGGGAAGGGTAACAACCTTCCTGTATACAGTACTATAAAATCCCTCCTGGCCAAAGGCACAATATCCTTTTACTTGTAAAGGGTTAAGAAGCTGAGATAACCTGGCTGGCACCTGACCAAAAGAACTCATAAGGGGACAAAATACGTTCAAATCAGGGGGCTGGGGGAGGCTTTTGTCTGTCTGTTCTGTATACTTGCTGGAGAGAGATCAAGAAAGCAAGCAATCCAACTCCATTGGAATTAGTAAGTACTAGCAAGGAAATGCGTTAGTTTACTTTTGTTTTGGCTTGTGATTTTCTCTGTGCTGACAGGAAGGTGTATTCCTGGTTTTCTTTTTGTAACTTTAAAGTTTTTGCCCAGAGGAAAATCCTCTGTGTTTTAAATCTGATTGCCCTGTAAAACTAGCTTCCCTTCTAATTTTACAGAGGTGCTTCTTTCACCATTTTTCTTTCTAATAAAGTTCTGTTTCTTTTAAGAGCCTGACTGATTTCTCTATTGTCCTAAGACCCAGGGGTTTGGGTCTGTGATCACTTTGTAACCAATTGGTTAGGATATTATTCTCAAGCCTCCCCAGGAAAGGGGGTGCAAGGGTTTGGGAGAATATTTTGGGGAAATAGGAACACCAAGTGGTCCTTTCCCTGATTCTTGGTTAAATCACTTGGTGGTGGAAACGTACCCTCCAAAGGCAAAAAGTTTGTGCCTTGGGGAAGTGAAACTAGAATGGTCAAAGAGAAATTTTAAATGTTAGACCATATTGATTAGTCAACACAGTTTTCTCTTAATTACTAAAAGTAATTATAACAGTAGAAGAAAAATAAGAGATACAATGATAGTTAAATTACATTAGTAAAACTTGTTCCTGTAGATTCTATAGCTGTTGCTGTGAAAATAATCACAAGTGTCATTCTCAAAAATCAATGTTCTGGGTGGGGGTTCTGGGGGTGGTCAGGGGACAGGGAACAGGGGGGTGGTGGATGGGGCAGGAGTCCTGGGGGGAGCATCAGGGGACAGGGAACTGGGGGGTTGGATGGGGCAGGAGTCTCAGGGGAGCCGTCAGGGGGCGAGAAGTTGGGGGATCAGATAGGAGGCGGGGGCTGGGCCACACCTGGCTGTTTGTGGAGACACAGCCTCACCTAACCGGCCCTCCATACAATTTTGGAAAACCGATGTGGCCCTCAGGCCAAAAAGTTTGCCCGCCCCTGCTGTACAACATTCTGCTTTGTTCATCATCCATCTTTCAAAGATTGGTCCATCCACCTATCAAACCTTCACACTTTGGAATTGTGACAGCATATGCAAGTTAAATGGAAAACTTTTTTAAATAAAACACAGACATTGTTCATCAATTTAAATGTCATATTAGTGTATTTAATATTCACTGGTTCACATAATGCCAAACTTCACAGTTATCTCTTTTGTGACCTCACTGTATGCAAACTTGCAGTCAATCTCAAAGCTCATAGTGGCATTCACCAAGCTCTCAGCGAAGGGTATTTTTCTGCTTGACGTGACTCAAATATTCACACACGATTTCACAATATTCCACAACTGCCATATGAAATGTAATCTGCTAACTAATCAAATTATTTATTGCCAAGATAAAGTCAGGAGAAACCTCAGTTTTGTAGTTTTATGGGACTGTTATTTTAACAGTTATGACCTATCTGAGGCAGCTCTTTATTTTGAGAATAATGCCAGTTAATTATTTACAGCACACGGCACATCTTGTTTTGCTTTCAAGAGGAACAGCCAAAATGGATGACAGTTTTTTAAAGCAATAATGCCAAACGTCCATATACTCAGTTTTTAAGTTATGTTTCACCTGTATGAACAGGTCATTCATTTTTGCACTGTCATTTATATTCCTGGATAACTAAGGCCCTGATTTAGTAAAATAATAAATAATGAGTAGTCCCAATAGGGACTATACCAAAAGGAACTACTCAGATTGTTAAAATTAGGCACATAGAATCACAGAATATCGGGGTTGGAAGGGACCTCAGGAGGTCATCTTGTCCAACCCCCTGCTTAAAGCAGGACCAATCCCCAACTAAATCATTCCAGCCAGGGCTTTATAAAGCCTGACCTTAAAAACCTCAAAGGAAGGAGATTCCACCACCTCCGTAGGTAACCCATTCCAGTGCTTCATGCTGAAGTACTTTGCTGTATCAGTACCTGAAAGTTTATGTGGGTTGCCACACTCAATTTGCAAGCCAACATATAATTAATAAAACATATGTCTAGCTTCATGCAGATCGCTTTGCTAGTATGTTGTATCCTAATCCCTTGTCTTTGTTCAGATGCTGTGCACTTTGGGGTAGTGACTTTCTGTGTGTTGAAAGTGCTAGAACACTTTGGGTTCTACCATGATCTAAATAATAATTATTCATCAAACCAGAAGAGACTTTGGACAGTTGTCAGGGTCTAGAAGATCAGGAGCTATGGTATTCCAAAAGAGTCCTCATCCTCACGGCAATTGAAATGATCCATAATAATCAATCTGAGCCCAATGACCTTGGTGAAAAGCAAAAAGATAAAACCAATATTAAGGAAAATGTCTTTAGATGCTGCTTTTGTTTCTGATGCATCAATGAATGCAATTAATTTTTTGGCAAGAGCTGTAGCATTAAACACTATGATCAGAATATTATTGTAACTTGGCTTGGGAGGATGGAGAAATAAAAACTATTGTCATCAAAATGTATGGAGAAAAGTTGGTTGTTTCATGAAGCACTAGGTGAAGAGGTGTTGGACTCAAAGTGGGATGTATCAGAGTGGTCAGATCATCTTTTTGAGACTCCCAAGCAGAGACAAGATAGAAGAGACTGCTTGTAGGTAGGGATAGAGGCTGACCTGCAGAGGAGGCAAAATGGAGGAGAAATTGCAGAAATCATTCTTCAGTCCTATAAAGTATTTTACTCAGTTAGGCCACATTCTACCTCTACCTCCACCCCACCCCAAAAAAGCAACCAGGAAAAAACGGTTAAGTAGACATAATCTTATACATGCAATGTAAAATATTCCTCAGTTTACCAAAATATGTAAGTTTTCTAGATTTTTTTAATGACTTCAATGGCAGATTAACTGGGCCCTTAAATAATACAGAAAATATGCAAATTTTATGACTGAAAATATTGCTTTTTTAACTAAAACTGTCTCAGGTATTTTATTAAAATTAAAAGGATGTGGGGCCTGATGGCTCATTGGAAGCCAGTGAAAACTCCCATAGAGCTTAATGGCCCAGAACCATATTGTTTAGAATATATTTTGACTGACAAAAGATGTAATATTTGTGACCTTAATAGTAATACGTAGTTAATGAGGTATTTTTTTTAAAAAACAACAACACACACACACAAATACCATAATGAAGTCAATAGGAACTGTTGGGTGTTCACCCTTTGGAAAAATCAGGTAACTTAGGCCCCAGTACTGCAAACATTGGCCTAATGTTAAAGAGGTGCATAATCATTTGCAGAATGAGGGCCTTAATTAGGAGACTAAGTCATGGTGTTAGTCACTTAAAATAATATATAAACTTAAAATGAAAATAATACTGTACATTTTGCAAATAGAAAGATCAGAAAGAAAAACCTAGTTCAAAGTTTGGATTTATCAACCTTGAGTATGTTCCCTGTGACAGTACAGAAATATAAATAGAAATAAGATCTTTTGTGCATTATCTGAATAAACACATTCCATCCACTTCTCCAAAATAATGCAATATATTTGGACTCCACAACGTGGAAAAGGCAACTGCATAATGTAAGAGTTCCTTGATATTAATATTCACACCCTTTTTACCTCAGCAAGTCATTTATCATCTAAATGTGTTGTTATTCATTACTACTACATATGTCAGCCATTTACTATGTAACAATTAAAATATTACATTTGACACCCACTATTAAGTTTTAATATTTTATCTCCCTCAAGCATAAATTCCATGTATTACTTTCATAATTTCTTTTTGTATTAGCAGTGTCTTATTTCATACCTTTCACATCTAATTGGTCACTCTTTCTTCTCCTTGACTTCCCCACAGAGCATCCCAGACCACAGCTGAGTGCGGCGGACCCCATGCCAGGTATAGTTTAAATATCCACTTATAAGAAGCTTGACAATGTAAATAAATATTGCCATTTATTTGAAAATGAATTAACTTGTTCAGGGTACTCTGAGCAGCACAAAGCCTCCCTGATACTTTTTTTTTCATGCTACTTTCCCCTTCCCCCCCTCGCAAAGAGAGAAAATCTTGATACCTTTTAAAAAAAAAATCTCCATGCAGGTAATAAAAATGATGGTCCTGATCCTGCAGGCATTTAGGCATGTAAGCAACTTTATTCACATGAGAATTTCCATTGACTTTAGTGGAAGTCCTTCTGCCCTAAAGTAGTTGCATGCCAAAGTGGTTGTAGGATCAGGCTTCAGGTGTGTTAATACAATGGTTATCATTAAAAACTTCACAGTTTACAGGTCAAATAAATGTAAACAACATTCCCAGCAATCCTGTACAGAAGGATGTAGCATACCACAGTAACTGTCCAATGTTTAATGTTGGCCTGTGTGATATCATGAAACACCAAAATGCTGGAGATCATGTTCCACGCATCCCTAATGGGTATTAAAATGTGATGGTATTAGTATAAAGATGGTGTCCTGATTTTTTTAAATTTATTATAAGTTTGCTCTCATTTTGGAATTTCAGTGGTTGCAAGTTTGATTGGGTCCTTATTGTCCCATGGTGTGGCATCTGACCATATCAATTGTTCAAAACATGAATTAAGATTTTGTGATATGTATCTAATAGTTCAGTCTTTCAAACAGCACTTAGTTACTCTGAAGGAAATACGGTTTTACATATGTACCAGATGACACTGCAATGTTCAACACAGTAAGAATATGAGAGGTTCAAATACTTAACCCAGCAGACATTTGAGTGAAAATGTTGTGGGCTGGGGTGTTGTATTGGAGACAAGAAACAATTCATTCCATTGCTCCAATGCACTTTCACTGGAGGAGGGAGTGTCTGGAATTTAAGAAGCATGTGGATACATCAGACCCACTCCTACTCCTTACCAAGCCAGCCACTGGTAGGGTGCAAGGTGTTCTCATGAGCCATTGCCCTGTAACATGCAGAGGTTACATACTTTATGGACAGAGTCGGCTCCTTGAGCAAAGCTTTTTTTAAAAAAATAATCTCTAATTGTGTTTATCTGAACCTCTTCGTAACTTAGACTGTCCCTGAGAGATTCGAAGTCCCAGAAAGTTCTCCAAGCATTTCTCCTGACTATAGGCCTGCTCCTACAAGTACTGAAGTCAATGCCAAAACTCCAATTGACTTAAATGGTGCAGGATTGTGGCTAATAAGAGTTATGCTCCCTAATCAGGAAGTGGAAACAATAATATGTGGCTTCTACAACTGATCGCTACTAACCAACACAGCTTGAATTTTGAAGATAAACTATCGGATAATTGCAGTGAACTATCTGTGATAAAGGCATAGATTAAAACTTGCACACACAAATGCGTCCTGTAAATTCAAGTATGGAATAAACTTAAGGAAACTGCAATTTGCTCATGGAAGTTCTGTGAGCTGAGGAAGAGGCTGAACTCACTGAGTAATTTATTTCCTGGGTTCGTGGCCCAAAATCATGTAAAGGAACCACCTCACTAAAATGGAAGATGGAAGGTTATTATTGTTTCTTAATTCTGTATTGCCTATTAGAATTTTGTCCCTCACTAAGCTTCTCCCGATGAAAGGAGATATGCCTGCAAAAGTTTTATCTTAAGCAACGAAAATACTTCTTGAAACATCCATATCTGTTGCAATATTAATTTGATATTGGTACTATTAAAATATTGATGTGTTAAAGCTCCGGTAAAGACTGTTTCCATCTAAATAGTAAAATGCATATGTACCTTGGAGCTGTGTAAGCAGCTAGACATTTTTGAAGGCTGTGGTCTGGCCCACAGTATCCCAGAAGAAGTTTCTTCTCTTCATCCTCCTGCTTTATTTTTACAGTTTTCCCTGTTCTTCTCAATTTCCTTTTAATTTTCTCTTGATAAAGAAACCAGGCTCAGAGGCCTAGAAATTCCATAGGATTCTGTTGTAACTATGTATCTGAATCACCCCAACCAGCCAGGATTTATACTGGATATAAACCCAATATTTTTGCAGAAAAAAAGACTGTACATCAGTAGATCTTAAGCATTAATTTCACTCTAGCTGGCTGGTAACATCTGTAAGATTTACTGCCAGGTGGAAGCTCCCGAGCAGAGGAAAAGTAGGGAGAATAGAGATCCTAAGCTACACTAAGAGACTGAGGGGACACAGTTGTTCCTACTTCCTTTTTTCTTGGTTTCCTTTCCGAATTCTCCTTTTTAATAGTCTGTTTTTTCTCAAAATTAATTGTTTTAATTGTGGTAAATGGCACAAATGGCTCATTTATAAGAAGGGCATGAAAATATTGGGGCAGTTTAGTATAAAGAGGGGATATTTAAGTCAGCACACAATGGAGGTATACAAATAATGGCAAGTAAATCTGGTGTTTCTACTTATCCTCTGTCTTAATACAAGATCAAGGGACTTTTAATGAAATTGAAAGACAGCTAGATTAAACAATTAATGAAAATAAACAAATACATAATTAACCTGTGGAAATTAATTCCCACAAGATATCACAAGAAGCCAAAAGCTAAGCAGGATTCAGAAAAGGATTAGACATTTATATGGTAATGAAAATGTTCCATAGTTGTTTTGGATGAGATAAAAAAAAATGTATAATAGGTATAGAGTTTGGTTCAGCTCTCGTTTAAGGCAATGTGAATCAGATCTGCACCATTAACCCTCATTTTTCAGGACATAAACCAACCACTAATTGATATGGTTAGGAAGAAAAATCTCTAAGGATAGTGTAATGGGATGTGTACCCCACTCAGGCTCCAAAAAGGTCAGTATGGTCCTAAGAAGTTGTCTAACATACCAAGCTGTCCCTGGAAAGTGGAACAGGCTTAGCTGAGGATGAAACCCAGCAGAGATTGTATGGGTGGTGCTGTAAGCAGAGGAAATTAACAGTAGAAGGGAGCAGCAGGGAGAATCTCTAGTCACTCTTTGGGACTAGTTTCAGAGTAGCAGCCATGTTAGTCTGTATCTACAAAAAGAAACGGAGTACTTGTGGCACCTTAGAGGCTAACAAATTTATTTGAGCATAAACTTTTGTGAGCTACAGATCACTTCATCACTTTTCCACTGCATGCATCCAATGAGGTGAATTGTAGCTCACAAAAACTTATGCGCAAATAAATTTGTTAGTCTCTAAGGTCCACAAGTACTCCTTTTCTTTCTTTGGGACTAGAGAGAGTAGGTACCGGGAGGGTCGAGGAGAAAATATGGGAGATCTTTTCCTGAATAGAGAAGTCTCTTAAGAGGCCCAGAGAGAGATGAAGCAAGCACTCGGAGTGGAGCAGGATTCACTAGTGAGCCCTGATTAAAGAGGATGATCTAGACTTCCAGTGAACGAGTCCTGGGAGGTGTTCAGTGGAAGAACAGCAGGGGAAATTTAAGAATCATTAAAGGAGGGTGCCCAAAGGAGGGTGGAAGTTGGTTTCAGTTTGTACCTTTGATTTGGGTTTGTTAGGTGATTCCGGAGGAGGGTGTTGGAAATCCCAGCCCTGAGAGAAGGGTGAACCTAGAGAGGTTGCAGGGAAGAAGGCCTCTGAAAGGCTGAATAGGAAGAAGCCCAGAGAGGCAGCAGTAAGGAGATAGACAAAACACCCCTTGGCTACTTGCTATTGTGTTCTTGAGCTGGAACCCTGGTGATGTAGTGGGAGGGCCTGGGTTCCCCTACCAGTCACTGGTAGGGGGAATGGTGGCATGAGGCTGAAGAAAGGGACAACAATGATGGAAAGTCTAAGAAAAAGGAGTGAGTACCATGGGGCCCAAAGTTGGAGCTGAAGACCTGATACAAGTTCTTGGATATTGGTTAGTTGGCATTTTTCTCCACCCCAGAAGGCATGAATTTAAATCATGACCAAGTTAGAGGGCCAAGTCCTGGGAAGAGGTGGACCACTGGAGGAAAAGAGTGCCCATTAAAAGGGGGCACCAGATGAGGGGAGAGAGCCACCACACCTGGCCATGAGGAAGCATTCCAGCAGTCAGTTCACCCTTTCACAGGTAGGTTATTCCATAATTTTCTACTACAGAGTTTCTTGTAACTTCCTATCAGGGGCAGGATGCTGAATTATATGGGCCAGTTGTGCGGTTGGGATTGTCAGGTAGAAGCTGAAAGAGAGTTTGCACTAATTAAATGGTGAAAGCATTATTTATTTGGGTTTTCATTGTTCCTTACTGATCAAAAGAGGCAAAGTTTTTATCAGAATCAGCTGAACACAAGGTTAACTAACCACTACTATATGTGACTATTATCATTGCAGTCCTAGAGAATCAAGCAAGAAAAGAATATAACAACCTGAAAAATGTAAGAGGTGTGTCATAAATATAAAGGGAAGGGTAAACCCCTTTGAAATCCCTCCTGGCCAGGGGAAAGCTCCTCTCACCTGTAAAGGGTTAAGAAGCTAAAGGTAACCTCGCTGGCACCTGACCAAAATGACCAATGAGGAGACAAGATACTTTCAAAAGCTGGGAGGAGGGAGAGGAACAAAGGGTCTGTCTGTGTGCTTCTTGCCAGGGACAGAACAGGAATGGAGTCTTAGAACTTTTAGTAAGTAATCTAGCTAGGTATGTGTTAGATTATGATTTCTTTAAATGGCTGAGAAAAGCATTGTGCTGAATAGAATAACTATTTCTGTCTGTGTATCTTTTTTGTAACTTAAGGTTTTGCCTAGAGGGGTTCTCTATGTTTTGAATCTAATTACCCTGTAAGATATCTACCATCCTGATTTTACAGGGGGGATTTCTTTATTTCTATTTACTTCTATTTTTTATTAAAAGTCTTCTTGTAAAAACTGAATGCTTTTTCATTGTTCTCAGATCCAAGGGTTTGGGTCTGTGGTCACCTATGCAAATTGGTGAGGCTTTTTATCCAACATTTCCCAGGAGAGGGGGGGGTGCAAGTGTTGGGAGGA